CCCACGCCGGAGCCGCTGGACGAGTACGCGTACCCGGACTACCGCGGCAAGGGCTGCGTGGACGAGAGCGGCTTCGTGTACGCGATCGGGGAGAAGTTCGCGCCGGGTCCCTCGGCTTGCCCGTGCCTGTGCACCGAGGAGGGGCCGCTGTGCGCGCAGCCCGAGTGCCCGAGGCTGCACCCGCGCTGCATCCACGTCGACACGAGCCAGTGCTGCCCGCAGTGCAAGGAGAGGAAGAACTACTGCGAGTTCCGGGGCAAGACCTACCAGACTTTGGAGGAGTTCGTGGTAAGAGGCGCACGCCCGCCGGGCCACTGGCGCCTTCCGGGGGGGGGGGGGGGGGGGGGGGCGGTGGCCGACTCTGGGTCTGTGGTCCCCGCTCTGACCGAGCGCTGCTCTCTGGGTCTCAGAGAGCCGCTCTCTGGGTCTCACGCCCCTTTGCCGTGACCTCTCGTAACTCTCCAGAGGGCAGCGTGGCCAATCCATGCTGAGTCCTTGGGCGCTCCCGATGAAAGGGCTTCCTTGGGATGAAGCCCTTGGCTCCGAAGGGAATGGTCCCGACAGGTATCGGCTATGCTTTCAACATTAATTTATTGCTCCAATAATTTGGAAGTGTTGCCGGTGAAACGCTCGATCTGTTTGCAATCACAGGGTATATGAGACCATTTGGGATAGATTCTTCAGCTAATAGATAATTAAGGGAGACTCTTCATATAAATAAGCCATTTCCCGAGACTCTGTGTTCAGGGTATCACGCAAATGTTCTGAAAATGAAAAGACATTTGTTCATTGGGTGGCAAAACCAAGAAGTGCAGTGTATGGCTAAAAATGGCTTCATTTTAGATGAGGAGTAGTAATATTAGCAGCAGCTGTCTCCTTAATGCCTACGGTGTCTGCAGCTGTTTTTCACGTGCATTCCTTTCCTTAAGCCTCATACCACGTTAGAAGGTGGATTGTGATGGATTCTCTGCATTTTGTGGAGAAGAGGAAACTGAGACACAGAATATTTAAATAACGTGTTGAAGGCTACGCAGGTAATTAAGAAGCAGATTCATGTGCCAGGTAAAGCAGTCCTACACAACAGCTCGGGCTTTTAACCTTTTTACTCCTCTTGAACCAAAAGCCCAGTTCCTCAAGGAGGCTTCCTTTGGGTGGCCGGCCTAGACTTGGCCCTTTGATTCAGCATGCCCGGCAAGTCCTTCTTCGGCCTGCAGGGGGCGTCATGCAACCTGCAGCCCCTGAAGCAGCCTTTGGGATGCAGGTTGGGAGGAACCCTCGGGGCATCTCCCATCTGGAGTCAGCCTGTGAGATCTGCTGGTTCCACAGTTCAGGATAAGTTGTAGCAATAAATTGCCAAGTACTGCAGAAAGAGAAAGCCAGCAAGGACAGATCCATAGACAATGTATGGGGTGTGGGAAGAGTGCTGGGACATGGCGTCAGGGAGCATGGGTTTCCGTTCTGGCTTGGCCACTAACCAGCTAAGGACTGGAACAAAGGACATGTCCCTCTGGGATTTCTTTTCTTGTGTCTGTAAGATGTGGGACCAGCTATCGCTAAGGCTCGTCCATCAGGCCTGCATTGCTTAAATACTCACCGTTGGTTCCAGCTCTTTGGAGAAAGACAACTTAGATGAGAGGCTCACCTGAGCCAGGTCCAGGCCATACAAGGTTAAGTCAGGAACCCTGCCCTCAAAACGCTTTCTATCTACTGGGAAGTCTGGTAGAGACCTCTCCAGATGTTTTGGGTGCAACACAAAAGTGCACAGGCAAATGTGGCCAGGCAGAGGAACCCTTGGGTGCTGGAAGAGCCCAGAGGAGAAGCCTCCCATTCTGGCCTGGGGCAGGGTCATAGGTGTGGGCCCAACAGAGCAATTCTTTTCCTTCTTTGGAGTTCATACCATAATGGAACTCTTCTAAGTGGCTGGTTCTTAATTATTAACATTTGTTGTTTGCACCATTTATAGTTCCATAGTCATTTGTTAGAATTGTCCCGTGAGGTGGGCCAAGTAATCATTAGCACTTCCATCTAAAGAACCCAGATACTTTACAGAGCAGCCATTTATCCACCTGAGATCACAGTTAGAGGGAAGAATACAAACTTACGCTGTAGTAACTCATTACTAAGTGCTAGAAGCTATGAAGCTGCTTTTGGGGTGAGGTGGGGGGTGGGGGAGACACATCTCTTATTTGATTTCCGTTTGCAAAATTGGTAGTCAATAGGTAGAATGTGTTTTCAGACTCCGGATGGGAGATGATACTGACAAAAGGGAAATTGAAAAGATTACAATCTTGGAAAGAATTAAAATACCAGTAAAGCTATTTTTAGAGTATTAAGTGCATCTTCCATCTTTAAATGACATTTCATTTTTAACTTTCACGCAGTCATTACTAGATGCTGGGATGCACACATGCTTGAATGTTGCAAAATGGTTAAACATTTTAAATTATTTGCCTGCTCCTATAATATATCAGCTCCATAAAGGTATTGTATTACATCATGTTTGCTAATTTTTGCAAGTATCAGGAAAATTTATTGGCATTTCCCTAATTTAATGTGGCCTGTGAAACTCATGTAGCATCTCTATTTCTGTTTCCTTCTGTGTACAAAAGAGGAAACAATGCTTTGTTGGAGTGGTATTGGAAAGAAGAATGTAGCATGGTATAAGGTCAGCCATGAGTCTACAGGGTTTGTGGGTTGCAGTCATGGAGATTTGCTGTGATGCAGAGTACCAGGGCACAGCACTTGTTAAGATGCCTGCTCTGAGTATGCTGGGTTTCAGAGACAGATAAATTGTAGTCTGTAGTTTGCATAGCACAAAGTATAAAGAAGATGCAGAAGGAAAGCATTTTCTGTCTGAAATGCTCTACACTTCTTTGAAGATGTGTAACTCAAATGGAGACGGTGGCACAGCAGGGTCATGCTTGGAACACCGTTTACCTCAGTAGGGAAGGAGGTGAAAGGGAGATCACCTGCAACTCTTTTTCAGTGAGATGTACAGGTCCTTCAACAGTCTGCCTCCCTGCTTCCGGAGAGAGAGGGAGAGAGAGGGAATGAGAATGAATATCACCGAGGAGTCCGGACCCTCCCTGAGCAGTGGATGAACTCCAGAGTTGGCCTATGTCTGTGATGTGCCTTTGGCTCCAGCAGGAGCGTGGCTTCTTCCTGGGCTTTCCTTTCCTTGGGCACGTGTCTTCTTGATGCTTTCTCTGCCCAGTGCTCTGCATATTCCCAAACTATCTTTCTCCTTTTCTTTGTACTCTTTTACCATGTCAAAATTCCCACTCTTTACAGCCTGTTTAATCTCAGCTAGATACTGGCAGAACTCACTGATTCCAAAAAATATCATTAAGCTGCTATTGATGATGAGAGTAATATCCTCTTTCCCCCAGGGATGGCTGTAATTTAATTTGTACATCCAAATAGAAACATAGTTAATAGTAGAATTTTCTCCACTGTCTCTCGAATTATGTCAAATGTCATTTTTTTCTTCAACTTATACCAACAGGCATCCAACTTTATCTACTGGCTTATTTTTTAGTAAATGAAGGATACTTTTATCTGTGTTTTTCTTCCTAGAGTATGTTAGTCTGTTAGGGCTGCCATAACAAGGTATCATAGACTGTGTGGTTTAAACAACAGGAATATATTGCCCTACAGTCCTGGTGGCTGGAAGTCTGAGGTCAAGGCATCAGCAGGACTGGTTTCTCCTGAGCCCTCTCTCCTTAGCTTGTAGATACCTGTCTTCTCATGGTCTTCCCTCCACGTGTGTCTGTGTCCATATTTCCTGTTCTTATAAGCATACCACTCATATTGGATTGGGGCACACTCTAATGACTTCATTTTTAACTCAATTACCTCTTTAAAGACCCTGTCTCCAAATAGAGTCACATTCTGAGATGTTGAGGGGTGAGAACTTCAAAATAAGAATTTTAGGAATACGCAATTCAACACAGGGGTGTCAGTGATAAGAATTGACTTCACAGAAACAGGCCCAAAGACATATAAGCCATGGGAAGGGAGAAAGGATGCATCAGCAACTTCAGAAGAATGTGTTCATAAAGAAGATACACAGTGAGTGGCAATAAATTAAATGCCCATTCCATGTGACTATGTGACCCACCTTGGCCATTCTGAATCTGTTTCTAATCCATCCCAATGCCATGTTCGGAGTACTTGTGTTACTTGTGTGAATGAATCCTTGTGTCACAAATAACTAAAAAATGAAGAGGAAGGGCTTTGTTGAGTTTTAAATTCACCTGGATGAGGATGGCAACCTTCCAGTCCAGAAGAAAATCACATTTGAAAGCCATTAGTGAAAGAAAGATTCTGTTTTGATCAACAAAACAAGTTGTTCCCATCACGAGAACCCCAGTCCCCTGCAGGACTGTGAAGACCGAAAGGGGAGTTTGCAAGCTTGTTTCATAGAACTTAATGGAATTTATGTGACCTCCTGAAATAATCATGCAGGGCAACTAAAACTTCACATCTCTTTGCTTTTGGTTGCCATTGTGTCCACTCTGCTTATCATAGTGGATCAGGAGCTCTGAGTGGCAGTTGTGTGAGTGTTTAAAGAAAACAAGAAGATGAATTATTGTTAAGTGTGGCTTGGTAGACTGTCTTCCAAAGCATGAGGACTGCTGAGAGGAAGAAAATGGGAAGAAGGATTTGTAGGTGAAATGATTTGAGACTACTTAGTTAAACCAAACCCTCTTCAATGGCTTTTGTATCTCACTGGCCATTAACCCTATGCAAAAATCTCATTTCTAGATTTTTATCAATAAAAAAATCTAACATGAAATTTGGATTCAGAACCTCCATCTAAATAGATCTGTATTGCAATTATGAGCAAATGCCAGTAGACAGAGCCACAGTTGTTCACAATTGTCAGTCTAATGGTATTTATATTCTTTTGGCCGATGTTACCTAACCAAAAAAAAAAAAAAAAATGCTATTATTATCACCCTTTGCCAAGAAAAATGCGTCAGTCTGTGTGAGGTTTATGTTCTTTCTGAAAGTGAGCCTACTGTATGTGCTGTTACTGCCTCTGAGTTTGTTTTGGTTCTGAGTAAGATTTTGCAAATTCTGGATTTCTCAGTTTCTGCCTTACTGCTTAAAGCCATTTAAACAGTAAGGGAAAAAAAGCAAGGAGTCCATATGGCTTCTGTAGACTTTTCAGATGTGTTCCTAACCCAGGTGGGAGAAACACAACTTTATTTATGTGCTTCACACAATATTTGGTGTGTTATGATGATGTAAGTATGAAATAAAAGTATAGCCTTTTATAATGG